GAGTGTGTGTGTCCTGCAGTGAGCAGAGGAGTGTGTGTGTCCTGCACTGAGAGTGTGTGTCCTGCACTGAGAGTGTGTGTGTCCTGCAGTGAGCAGAGGAGTGTGTGTGTCCTCATTATCCCTCTGCTGGAGGACACTCAAGGACACCAGCGATTGAATTGGAGTCTTGTTTTCTCCCTGGAAACCAATCAAGGAAAAGCCTCAGAATAATAATAATAATCCCCGTCCGCTGTCATGACTCTGTTTCACTTTGTCCCGTGCATATCTCCGGCTTTCTTTTGGAGTCGCTCTGAAAAACTGGTCCCAGCATAAAATCAATGTTCCATTCAAATGTAGCGACCAGGAAGCGCCTCGTCCCGGAGGAACGGATGCTCTGCGTGTGAAGGGAGACTCAGAGTATAGTCCTCTGTCCTGAAACAAAGGAATCTGAAAGTTATCCAATCTACAGGAAAGCTCCTTAAACTCATCAAACATTGACAGAGGAGGAGGCTTGACGCTCATCACTGCTCACTGTGTTCATGTTGACTAGAGGCTCATATCCTAAAACACTCAACACACCATCAGTGTGGGTTATTTCTGTTATAAACACACTCTTAACGCCAGCGCCCATTTTCACACCATAAACACTTCCTTTAAGGATCAGCAGAGTCTGTGTGTGTGTGTGTGTGTGTGTGTGTGTGTGTGTGTGTGTGTGTGTGTGTGTTGTGTGTGTGTGTGGTGTGTGTGTGTGTGATGTGTGTGTGTGTGTGTGTGTGTGTGTTGTGTGTGTGTGTGTGTGTGTGTGTGGTGTGTGTGTGTGTGTGTGTGTGTGTGCTGTGTGTGTGTGTGGTGTGTGTGTGTGTGTGTGTGTGTGTGTGTGTGTGTGTGTGTGTGTGTGTGTGTGTGTGTGTGTGTGTGTGTGTGTGTGTGTGTGTGTGTGAGAAAGAAGGCACAGTCTCTCACGGTTCCTTGTGCTATTGTTGTTTTTATTAACGTTATCATTGCTATTTGTTGTCATCGTTATGAGTCGTAGCAGAACAGGAGAAATGAAAACAGCGATCATGGCTTAAGTTTCTCACTCAGCTGCAACCGAGAGAGAGAGAGAGGAAGAGGAGGAGAGAGGAAGAGGAGGAGAGAGGAAGAGGAGGAGAGAGGAAGAGGAGAAGAGAGGAAGAAAGACAGAAAGTGGAAACTCTTAATGGTGTGTTGGACCATATGGAAGCTTCCAAGCAGCCGACCATATGTCGAAGGCTTTTGTCATGGAAATCATACTTTTTGGCACTTCTTCGTTGCGCAGCCAAGCCGGGCACATCAAACCATAATAAATGAAACAACAGAGAAACCGTAACATGATCAAATCTTTGAGAAAACACGTTGTTGTGTAACTTATGAACCATGTAACCAACACACTCCCTGATTCACACCCAGGCTGCACGTTGGACCTGTATTTGACTTTTTCCTTTTGAATAATAAATAAAAAAAGGGACGACATGAGTAGAAAAAAGAGCAATTAAATGTCTACATGCATTGTCATATTATTGCTGTGATATATTTACACGTATATTTACAAAGAGGAACAATGTTTCCCAACAGAAGATTCTCCCTGCAGCTCGTCTCCAATCAACCGTCGCCGCGCTTTCATCCGCCTCGTTAAAACACCCCGGCTTTGAGGCGACGCATCTCTGTCCCACATTTAAACAGCAAACATGTGAACATCAACGCACAGGAAGCAGTGATTTGTGCACGTTAATGAGCGGTGGACAGGTGGTGATTCAGCTGAAGCACTCAGACTCTTTTCTCACTTTGTGTTGTCTCTAATGGGCGAGGGCTCGGCATTAGCGCGATGCTGCCGTCCATTTAGAAATATGCTAATCGCTGACGGTGCATTTGCCTGCTGGTGCTTGACCTCCCCCCCCCCTTTGGAGGTCGCTCACCGACTCAATTACGCTCCCTATCTGCAGTCTGTCTGCAAACACCTGTTATCCTCCCACACTCCAACACCCTCCGCCAAACCCCCTCTTCATCCCCACTCCTTCCTCCTCATCGCTGCGTCTGTTCGGACGGGATGAGGAGGACTGGAAGTGCATTGCTTTCATCAAGATCATTCCCATTTCGCCTCGTATTCGACACCTTGGGAATAATCTAGGACTTTCAAATCGTCTGTGATCTTAATTAGATGCTGTCTTTTTACGTGGTTGCTTTTCAAACCAGTAACATAATAATAAAATATATCAAACAGCATTGAGGAGGACTGGAAGAGCATTACAGCGAAATAATCTAAAAAAACGACAAGGTAATTCCCGTGAGTGCCGGTGAAGACGCCTCAGCCTCTTCCCCGACACCTTGGGAATCATTTAGGACTCTGATCTTAATTAGATTTATTGTAGTGTATCTTTCATACCTGGTTGCTTTTCAAAACCAGTAAGATAATTAAGAACATATAAAACAGCAGTCCAATTAACACGGGTAGCAGATTTATAAAGACATTATCCCCGCTAACATTATTGCTTTTGCACGAGGGCTGCACGATTTGAAAATAAAAAATTAAATCAAATATAAAAAGATATTGCGATAACAGAGGGATTGATCATTTTTTTGCATTTAAAAAATATATTATCATGTGACTATTTTGGAGGACAGGATATCTCCACAATCTCCCTGTGATTTAAATATTAAAATATAACTCGATTTAGATGCATTTCCGATTATTGTGCAGCCCCTATTTTGCACCTTTTTAAACATTAGTGTTACTAGATTACACGTATTATTATAAAACAGGTCTTGGGACATTCTCATGCAGATTTCTCCTTTCTGGGGATTATTCATTGCCTGAGATTTAAATAAAAAAAGGGCCAGAAGAACTCCCGTCACGAGGAAGACTTGGGTTTTTGTAAAACAGCGAGATGGAGAGTTGTTTAGTCGTTGAATGGTTTCTTTTTATTGCCCTAACTCGACTGAAAACAGGACAGCTGTGATTGTTATACATGTCAGGTTAAATTATTGCCATGAAAAACAAAAGATCCTGCATTCATTTTGTTGGAAGTCCTAACACTGTACATTGTTCCTCTTTTAAAAAACTAAGTCCCGCGGACTCTCTACAGTTTTCATGCATATAAACATTTTCTTTGAAGATCAGCAGCATCTTACAAGGTCAATGGATGTTCATCTTTTAAATTATAAATAATAAATACATGGTCATTAAATAAGCTTCAATAAATACACAAAAATAGGTGAATAAATAAATAAATAAAGTATTTACATGATAAATAAGATGGTGTGCATCTAAAGGTGGGCGGAGCTTAGAGCGACATATAAAAAAGAGACAAACAGAAGAATCTGACTTTGTAACCGAGGGTCCGGACGCGTCTGTCGTTCTTCCAAACCACTTCAGATTCAACCACGACTACTTCTGCACGACAAAACCATCGCCGCACGAAATATTAATTTCACAGTCGCTTCATAGAGCTCTTCAAAGTAGACCGAAATAGTGAATTTGATATGAAAGAAGGTCCCAATTATGCAGCGATGAGCACATCCTGGATTTAAGAATAATAAACTAGCTAATAGTTTGATGTTTGCCACGTTTTGTATATAAGTATTTGAGTATATGTTCTTTGTCACTTTCACTGTCAGAGTATATTTAATATTCTTCTTGCTGCAAACCGCTGTAACGTTTCCATCATGACTTGCACTGACTGCAATGTGAGTAGCTACAGCAGCTAACGAATGCTAACGAAGGCTAACGAAGGCCAACGAAGGCTAACTGAGGCTAACCGAGGCCAACGGAGGCTAACGAAGGCTAACGGAGGCTAACAGAGCTGCAGGACTTCAATGTGAGTAAACTGCCGCTAACGAAGGCTAACGAAGGCTAGCTACAGTCCGCTCACCCCCCAGTGAAGATGTCTCTAAACGACAGGAAGTGAGAGGGGGAGGGACCTCAGGATGCAGCCAATTCTCAGCCAATATCGTTTTCTCAACCTATAGTAGACGTTATATAACTTCAGCGTTGTTAATATGTTCTCTTTATACGTCCATGACGCGGTCGTGCAGCGCTACGTTGATGCAGAAGTGGTCGTGGTTGAATCTGAAGTGGGTTGGAGGACTGAATGGACGCGGTCCGGCCCCCCGCTGTGAGGTAACACTGGCTGCAGATCGTCTGTAAGACTGAAGCCACCATGGTGGAGGAAGAACAACGCGTTTCATTGCTATAGAGGAGTGGGCCGCACGTGGCACTTAATACAGCGAATCATTTGGCTCCAGCGTTTAGCCCCGTCCCTTCATCACACGATGAATGAGTGACGACCTGTTCAACAGGTGTAGTTTAATCCAATGACCTATGGCCTTATGTATAGCTTATTCAAATTTCTTTTTTTTCTGTTGAACACCCACAGTTACAAAGATGCTTCAGATCAACAAGGGATTAACAAGCACAAAAAAATAAATTTAGAAAAATCAAATAGAAAAATAACATCCGTTGAATTGAAACATTGGTGTGAAAAAAAGGGCTTTTTCTTTTCACCGTTTTTAAAATGATCTCCCTTTTTTTGTTTTTGCAAATACTGTCATAGTTCACATTTGTCATAAAAAGTTCATGTTGGCAGTTGCAAAAGAATTCAATTCTTAGCAAATAAAAAGCAGCATAAAAATACAAGAGGTCATTTTGTCTCTAGAAAACAAAAGAACGCCGTTAGTCCTTTTTTATGTTTTTTTTTCTTTTTCTCGTTACTATTTGCTATAAAATATCAGGAATCTAAATATTATTACTATTGATATCAATATCATTATAGTCATTGATAAAAATTCACATGCCAGGCCTCATATATAATTGTGTGTGCACACGTGCGTACATTACGTGTGTGTGTGTGTTTGCATACATGTCTGTGTGTGTTTACATGAACCCACGTCCGTGTGTGTGTGTGTGTGTGTGTGTGTGTGTGTGTGTGTGTGTGTACACTACCATCTACAGTCTGTATTTGGGGGAAGGTTGTCTGATTGTAGTTTCTGTGGACGATTAGCTACTGTGCAGGGAAGAAATCCAGCATCTTTTGAAATTGTCTTTGCCATAATCATCAGAGTTTCTTCACGTAATCTCAGTGAAAATATTGCTTTCTAAAAAAAGGGACGGAAAAAAGGCATGGAGGGCAGAGTGAGCGGGTTATTGGTTTTTGACCCGACAACTAGTCCAGTTACCAGCTCATAGAGGCCTATAGTGAACCAGGAAATGTTGAATATACCACCAAGTGTTATGTTAGAAATGTATAGTAGGGTCCCGAGCACATAAGTGAGTGGTTTTAGAGGTAATTGAGGATGCTGATTCCATTTCTGACATATACAGGATCCAAAAAGTTAGTTTTAACTAGAAAGTGGCCATGTTTGGACTTATTTTGATGAATTATGGGTCAATTTTGAAGTTATGTAGACTCTGGGTCATTAGGATTTGACAGATTGATATCTATTTGAAATTATCCACAGTAGAAGTAATGTTCATCTTGTGCTCTCTATATCAGATGGTAGTCCCAATCAGGTGCGGCCCGTACTAAACATTTCTAACATAATACTTAAGGTTACTCTTTCACATTTCCCGGTTCCCAGTGCTGGCAACTAAACTAAACAGGGGTTCAGGTTTCATCTTCCTCATCGCGGTTTTAGTTTAGTTTTCTGATCCGGAGTCTTCGTCGTCGTCTTCTTCGTCCGCGGAGCCCTTGAAGCAAGCCGACTCGTAGTGCTTGTTCAGGTAGGACTTGAGGGCGAAGGTCTTATTGCAGCGCTTGCATCGGTAGTGCTTGAAGGCAGAGTGTGTTTGCATGTGAGCACGGAGGTTCGATCGGTCGGCGAAAGCTTTGCCACAGTGTGCGCAGGCGAAGGGTTTCTCCCCCGTGTGGGACCGCTTGTGGCCCTGCAGCAGCCACGGCCGGCTGAAGGCCTTGCTGCACACGTCGCACTTGTGCTTGAGGTCGTGGGTGAGGATGTGCATGGCCAGCGCCGGCATGGACACGTACACCTTGTTGCAGGTGGGACACTTCCTGGCCATCTTGCTGTCGAGGCTTCGATGCGTCTGCTTGTGTCGGCTCAGGTTGGAGGACGTGGCGTACGTTTTACCGCATTCGTTGCAAGAGTGGCGAGCCGTTCCCGTTGCTAATCCCGTTCCCGATCCTTTCTCCGTGGAGCTGCTGCCTCCGTTAGCGCTGCTGCTCCTCGACCCGCTGCCACCGCCACGACTTTCCGAGTCCGCCTTTCTTCTGGAGCGTCCGTCGGAGATGAAGAAGGCATCCATGGTGTAACCCTCGTCCAGCGCCTCAGACTCGCCGCTGTAGAAGCCGCTGGCCGTCATGCCGGACTGCGGGCTGTCGGGCTGCTTCAGGTCGGGGTCGCAGTATTCCTCGCCGCCGCTGCTCACCTGCGAGTACAGCGGGTCGGACACCGGAGACGCCAACTTGGGCTCCATCTTCTTCTCCCCCTGGTATACGGATGGCGTGATGTAGTCCTGGATGTAGCCTGAGAGAGAGACAACACACTTTTAATTCCCTATTAAAGGTAATTTATTATGCAAAATCCACTTTTTCATGTCTTTTATATATCGACATGTGTCCCCTCTGTGTGAAGAGAAATATTCTCTCTCGTTTTGATCCATTTATATAAAAACCTGTCTGAAAATGAGCTGATCAGATTTTGGCCACTTTATGATGTCATAACGATGTTTTGTCTTGTGTAACCATTAGCCAATCAGCAACCAAGGTAACCCCCCCCCCCCCCCTTATCACCTGAATCTCCTCCTAGAGCACCATTGAGTTCTTTGTAACCAAATGTCTCTCAGAGGGGCGTGGGGAGGGGCTCCTTATTTTCATCTAAAGTAACAGACAGAGAATCAGCACTTTGGAAACAGGGCTGAAACAGAGGGGATTATGGGTAATGCTGCAATGATCTGTTTGGTGTTTCAGCCAATCAGAGACAGGCTCTGTATATATCTGAGACCTGTGATATATTGATGAAGAAGAGGATAATAGGGGACCTTTAAAGTCATCATACATGCAAAGCAGAGCAGCGCCAGTTTTCCAATTATAGTCGATCATTCTGTTGATTTTGAACCGGTAATTCAAACAAGTGTTTCCTGTTGATCTTGAATCAAACAGGTGCATCGTTTTCTGCTCTCACAAACTACCAGGACTTTGCATTTTTCTGTATAAATATATCACAAGGCGACACAAATACATTCATAAGAAGTCAACATACAGTTGAAATGGATCTCAAATTGGAGGAAGACTGACCACGAACAACTCTAACCATCCCATCGAATACAAGAAAGCAAGCAGCCGACCAACCCTACCCTTAAATCCTCTTAACCATGAAACCCTCCAGTCTTTAACCATTTCCAAATCCACCTTTTAACCCTTCTGGAAAGTCTCTTCAAAAGCACCAAAAAAAGGGACAGAAAACCCAATTGAACAGAGTGATAGGCAATCAGAGTAAGAGACATACTATCTAAATGCTTACATGATGAATTGACACGACAGCAGACCGTTG